ACAAGAAACTCCTGCAAATGTTTATAAACTTTCACTGCATTTAAGAAGACAGGGCAGGAGTTACCAAGCAAAATGATTCCCCTCATGGTTACACATGGTAGCTTTTTTTAGGAGAAGTGTTTTGGGGGTTTTTTCCTCCCACACTGATTGAGTTTTACTTGATTTTGTCAGTATTAGTTCACCTTTATTTGAACTGCTGGATAATTCATTTGTAGAAGAGGCAGTACATTTAGGTACTTCCATCTGTGTTTAAACAAGGCTCTTTTGCTTTCCCCATTAAAAAAAAAAAGATTTTGTATTATAATGCTTGTGGTAGATGAGGTTCTGAATTTAACTTCTTCCTACTCTAGTTTCTCTTAACAACTCTGCGTTATCAGCACCTGGGGTTTCTAGTTTACTCTCTCTTTGCAAATATGAATTTGCAAGAAGGGGTTGATGGTAAGTAGCGTGGTTCTAATTTGCACTTGTGAAGTGTCAGACAGTTTCATCTACTGCATGGTGAGCAGAGGAAAGCCTGTCTTCCTCTGAAAACAGCCCTTAGAGGATGTCAGAAAGCGTGTTTGGCTGCGATAGTCACTTACAAATGCAATATGGTTTTGAAATGAGCTGTCCAGGAGCTGCTGGAGGAAGGGATGCCTGCACTCCTATGAATCCACTCTTTGTCTTTACCTTCCTCCTTTTTCTTTCTCCTATTTCTACTTGTTTTTGTGCTTCTGGGCTGTCACTTCGATGTGCTTTTGGATGAGTCTACTTCATTGCACTGGTAAAAGTTCTGTGGACTCATTTGGATGAAACATTTGTGACAGTCATGTGTTTTGCTGGGACTGTACCCAATGATATAGGTAGCCCTTTCCAGCTTTCTGTTCATTACTCCCTCTCCATCTACCTGGCATATTTATAGCCTCATCCATCCCTCCTATCCTCCTAGTGCCTTTCAGACATCTGTTGAAATCACTCTTCCCTGTGGTATCCGAGTACCCTTTTCTCATCCTTCCACACATGCCTGTCCTCAGAGCAGGAATCTTGTCCATAGTTCATGTGCGTTCACAAAGTCTTTTCTTAATCCATTAATAATCTAGAGGTTGAAGCCTGGGGTGATATTTGAGTGCATGGCTGGACATACAGAAGGCTGGGCTGTGGCCACCCTTCTCTCTCCCAGGCAAAAGGGCAGAGGATTTATGGTAATACCTCACCTGTGCCCTTGCTCAGGAGCTACATTCCATGTTCCTCTTTGCGTCCCCGTAACTCATCAGTGCTCCAGAAGTGTTGAACTCCCTCTAACCTGTCCCATTTCTCTACTACACCACGTCAACTAGCCTTACACCTTCTTCCTCCCCCTAAAGCCCAGCTTTCATCACACACTTGCCCAGTACCCTCAGAGGAATTCAGAATGAGTCACGCAGGGCGCCTCTGGGGACTCCTACTGATGCAAACTTCCTCCTCCTCAAGGCGGCCTGTGGTTTGAATGCCACAATGCAGCCGGTACTTGTTAGCTTGAGCCTTTGCTGTGAAGTTCATGGCAGAGCTGGGTCTCTGGCACAGGCACCCCCAGCTTGCTGCCCTCCTTCACTGGGCTCCGGTGCAGGAGGGGAGACATCCTCTTTGCAGTGTCAAACGTGGGAGCTGCTCAGAGCCTTTCAGAGTGCCAGTCAATAGGCAGTGAAGGATTTTTTGGAGGAAGGGGTTATTATTTGTTCTTAAGGTATATTCCAGTCCGGACAGGAGACTGGCATCAATGCATTAAGTGAAGTGTTATGTGGATGTTTATACGTAAGATTAAAGTCCCCCGGTTCTTGGGATGGAATAGACTTCTATCGCAAGAGCTTTACTAGTGGTCTGTCATCACCTGCTTCCAGAGTCTGCATTCAGAAACACAAGATGTGATGAATAGGGCTCATTTATGGTGTTTTGGTTTGGGCTTTCCCCCTTGCCCCGGTAGGCCATTGTATTTAAAACATTATCTACCTTCTCCCTCTTCACATGGAAAAAAGAAAATGCTTTTCTGGTGGTAATTACACAGTGCCGTGTTGTGGACCTTTCATCCCATTACAGTCAGTGGACAAACTACTGTCATTTACAAGAATGAAATAGGTGAGGAAATGAGAAAGTTTCTAGCACTCCCGAGCATAAATGCCAAGCTGACATGGGAGACAAATTCCAACAGAAAGCAAATTTTCTTGCTACCAATGAGCACTGCTGCAGTTGTGCTCTGAAGCAGGGATGGAGGAATGCTTGCTCCTCATCAGGTGTTTCAGAAATAGAAGAATCAGGCAATATTAATGGAGGGCTACAGACCCTTAACCTGTCTCTGCCCTTGCAGTTCAACTGAGACACGCTTCAGCTCTTCCTTGCTCTCAGTTTCAAAATCTCTTCAGTCTGTCTATGTCTTGTCATGAATCTGTTGGCAAGGTCAGGGTTTGAATACACTGAGATGTTTTTTCTCCAGCAGAAATCTGCTGCTTTATTATTCTCTACCTCTGCATACACACCTTTCAGATTGATGCTCTTATTTCCCTGTTTTTTTGCTCATTTATAGTGATTCCTCATGGGAGGTTTACTCTCATGGGAGGTTTGCCCTGAAGGTGTGATTGCAGGAGTAAGGTCTTTACCAGTGCCTCAGCAAAACTCTATTTACACATCACTAGGGAAGAGCTACCAGTTGGGTAGCAGAGCTTCCTTATTCCTTTGGTAGACTTGCTTGAGGCCTGTGGACTAGAATTTTAGTGGCTTATTCTTATCTCCCTTTTCTTCATATGTGGTG